GTTTTAAATAGCTCGCCAAGAATACGTTTTTTATTCATCCCTCGCAATCATGACGTATCGTGATCGAGATAAATCTGTACATTCCTTCGATTTGAATCTACAAAACACCGTGCGACGAGACGTTTCAAGTTCGGCACTGTTTTATTTCTAACAATAAGATCAGAGGTGTTGCTATTGATTATCCATAGGTTATCGATATCGTATCATCGTTAACACCATCCCTACGTAATACGGATTAAAATCTACGTCACCTATAAGAAGAAAGAAAAACAGAGGGATTTATTTGACGAGAAATTAGGTCACAGATGCCGAAACACATTTCCCTCGTTATTATCACGATCTCTGTTTCGCTGACTACGTTTCGCGATCTTATCAAACGATGTGTACGCGTGGCGAACACGTGGCGGCTATATGTGTAATTAACATTCGCGAGAATTTGTGCGTGCATCCACCTCGGAGCTAGACGCTCGATGCTAGACAAAAGCAATAATAGACGGGTAAATTGATTAGCCCCGCCACGATGATAGACTGTTATCCGATTATCTATGTGAATCATCCGATGTGTACACGGTAATTTGTATCTTTCTTATACAGGAACAGGTTTCAGATTGTTCGATGTGCTGATTCGAGGACGCTGCCTCTATGATACGGTAGCTGATGGATTAAACTGATAAATTATGATGGGATCTGTTAATGCCTATGATTGTCACGATATATTTCTTTCCATTCCGTCTCACTATTTTCCTGATATTTGTTTACTTATCGTTGGATTAAATTATTTATTTCCGTGTATTATGTTGCAAATCTATTATGTATTTTTAATTTATTTCACACGTTGACAATTTTCCTTTAAATAATTTCCTAAGGTAGAAAACTGTACTTCTTCTCAATATTAAATTAAAAAAAAAAAATCATCCAACCAAGGATTAATTTTATTCTGTAAATTTGTTATACTTCTAAAGAAAATAATTGCATACGATATGAATGAAAAGCATCACATAACGATCAATTAAGATCCTACAACCGTAATCATTAATATTTACAATTAATCGTCTAAGATCGCAACAAGTTGAAATTCCATTGATAGAAGGAGAAAAGAAGAGTGACAAAAGATTTCCAGTGAAAAATCCTAATGAACCAGGTGTCCCCCGAGCGGAAAGGTGGACTGTGACGGGAATGGGTTCGGGGGAGATGTCGGAAAGCGATCGGCAAGTTGCTCGAGCAACGAAAATAGCTTCGGAAGGCAGGCATTATGAAGCTATGAAAATATTTATAGACCGCCACCGTTGGCAAATAATGACACACGGGGATCGTGGCGGCAGAATAGTTTCGCGTTTAATAAATAACGCGGGCACACAACGCGCTCGCTGTGCTCGCGTTACGTCGAATGATGCAAATCCTAGATTAATGCCCGGAATAATGCCCGTCGCTTGATTTGCGTACCGATATTCATCGCGAATATCAAATGAGATCGGTGACGTTAACTTATATGCATCGTGGAACGTTGTTTCGTACCTGCGCTGGAGATTCATTTATCGCTTTCTCGATCGTGATTAACAGTCGGATCAAATTATAAATCCAAGTCAATTTTCGTATTTAAATTTCAGAGCAAAAATACTTATGAAATCAGAAAAAAATAAAATATCAAACTTTTTATCGTTAACCCTTTCATTATTATGCAAAGTATTTACATTTAAAAATAACAATGGAAATTGCATTTTCCACCCCTGGATTTTTTATTATAATAAAATAGTAACCTTAAACATAAATTCTACGACAAACATAAAAAAATTGTTAAAAAATCTTCCACTTCTCTTCTATTCATAGCGTCTTCACTTTCATCGACAACGCACTCGATTAATCTTCTATAAAAAGGGAAAACAGAAAGATCGATAACGAGATAGAAAAAAAAGGTGAACACTGACAATACAATGAATTTCCATAAAGAGCAATTTATGCCTCGTAGTTGTACCATTATTTATGGAGTGTCAGTGGATGATGACACGAAAAGGGACTCGGTGAGAATGAACGTAAAAGGGTTAAGAAACGAGCCGAGAAGAGGGAAAGTAATAAACAGAAGTAGGGAAAGACGAATGATATCAGCGTGGCACGTACACTCTGCATATTTAATGCAATCAGAATGCATCGGGTCAAGAATAGAAAGGCGAGAGATGAAAATGGAATTTCTCTCCGGTATAAAAGAATAGAGCTCGGTGAACGTGATCTTTATTATCGGTAGAAGCCCGATTTCCGTGGAACCTGCTGCAAATACATACATTCCGTTTGAATAGAACGTAAAGTTGGTTCGCGCGTGAAAGGAAATCTAAATGGACCGACGTCGTTAAGAAGAGGAATGGTTCTAGCTACTTCTTAACCTTCTATCCGCGTAGAATCGAAACGTTATTCTTTCTTTCTTAGCTCGCGTAGAAAAGGTGCGATTATCTAGCTCGTACAATCGTGCTTGCGTAATGTCATTAAGCGAAAGCCTCGAGCGTATCGTAAGCTCTTTGATTTCATTATAAATACGCTCGCGAACGGCTGAGAACGCTCCGAGTGTATAAGGTACGATTTGACCAACGCGAGTGTGATACTTGAAAGGCTTGACCAGTGTGTTTCGCGATGAAACGAAATAGGAGGTTTAAAAGAAACGCGTACAGTGTGAAAATTGCAAACGGAGCTTTTATGGAGGATTAAGTTCCACTAAAATAGAATAATAAATAAATTAATGAGTACCTATTTTAATGAGCACTAAAGAGTCAATTAATCCTATAAAATTAATTAATATTAAATCCTATTAAAATTAATGTAACTTTGAATATCTGAATGAAAGGGTTAATATTCCCTATTCTCCTCCTCCTTCAAATATAAAACTGTGCAAATTGAATAGAAAAATAAAAATTTCTCGATACAGTGAAAGAAACAGTGAATACAGTGCAGCCGGTGAATACAAAATGGCACGGAAGACCGGAAGCTGTGCGAATGCAACCGTACCAAAAGCCATCGCGACAGATGCGTCAGCTGTGCAACGTAATTTCCATACTGACTGGCACACACGGCTCGATGAACGGCCGAGAAATAGAAGTCAACGTATAACTTAACCCTAACTTGACCTCGAGCGTTTCCACCATTCGCGATGCAACTGCAATTCTATGCGCAAACTGTGCGAATACGAAAGTACAGACAGAAAGTGCATATAAAACTGGCATCGAACATGATCCGACGAGAGAACAGAAAGGAACAATTATGGTGAAAAAATAATTAAATAGGGGTAGTTGTACGGTATTATAAAGAATTATTTATCTGTTGGTTAATTAAAAGGAAGGAGGTCGCGAAGGCGACGACATAGAAACGCGGCAATTCGGAGCGCAATCACGAATGAAGATCGCTCGTCGGGATCACAAGAGGCCCGTTAAAAATCGTTAATCGTCGAGCACGCTTGGAGATATTCCAAATTACCATATCCGCGTCACGACAATGAGTTATATTCGGTAGTTGATAGTTCGCGGTCGTACGCGTGACCGCGACGACGGCTATTTTTGTACCATTTCATCTTACGCGTACCGATTGTCAATTCGTTCCTGCACGTACACCTCGAAATCTATGAACGCGAAACACGATACTGTATCAAGATCGTTTCACACAATCAATGGAAACGACATATGTACGGACAAATATTCAACATTCTATTTTCTTTCTATTCTTAATTATTTGATTAAAATTAAATTTGAAATGAAAAATGTTGATAAGAAAGAGATTTTAAATGATAAAATGGAGAATAATGTTTAGAGTAGCGAAAAAAGTAGATCAGGTTTCGGAGGGAGAAAGAAAAACACGCGGAGGGCGCCACGTAATAAAGGTCAACGACCCCAAGTACCACCTGTACGTCCTGCACCAGTTCCCCTTTCTAATGTGGGTCAGTACGCTTCCTCGAATAAAAAGGGTACATTTGAATAGTAATAATCCTATTATAATTCCGATCAAAACAAATTACTACGAACCTGCACAAAAATCGATAAACATCTGTTTAATTGCAAATATAGGTCATTAAAACTCGGTACCATCTGATGCATTGATTGCTTTGCAAAAGATAACTGGATTAGTTTAATAAAAAAGGTAACGATCGTAATTGTTCGAAGGAGAAATGCAAATGAACCGGTTTCCAACGGGCCTGCGAAATCTGGCGCGTACGCCAATGGTCGTTTCTCTCTGGCTAAACACGTATTTACATCGGACACGCATTAGCGCACGTATATACACGCGAGCCGGTCAGCTGTTCGAACGACGACGTCCAGACGCGAAATCCTCGAAAGCGGCATGCCGCGTCCTCGAGACGATTCCGTTCCTCGACCTCGTGGAAACGAGGCTAACCGCGCGCGAGCCGCACGGCTCTACGAACGAGAAGATGGCGGGGGAGGCGGGGTTGACGTGCAAAACGCAAATTAGGTTAGGTTGCTTCGCGCGAGTGATAAATTGAGAAACACTAATCGAACGATGGTAGAATAAGATTCCAATTGATCTGTTTGTGAAATTTTGTAAATAAAAGAAGCGTACGGGACGTGAGGGTGGAAAAGCATGGCTTGAAGGGTCAATGAGAATGCTGGCAGGTCGATAGCAATGGCGCCGCGAAGCCACGAAGAAAATCAATCCTGTACGACACGCGAGGTGTTTTGACGTGTCTACTTTACTCTCGTTTCGTTTTCCAAACGACACAATTCGATGTTTCCTTCTGATGATTTGATTTTAGTATAAGAGAGTGCATATTGTTTGAAATCAGGTGTAAAGCAAAACGCGTCGCGAAATACGTGGAACACTGACGTACCGACCGAGGTGGCCGGAAAAGACGAAGCCGCAGGGCCACGCATACGTATACATAAGTTAAGATCGCGTCGTACACTGATGTATACGCACGTACGAGGTAAGGTCGTATCGCGTAACTCCATGCAACGATACCAGCGAAAAATCGTGATTGACAGAGAAAATTTATACGTTGTTTCACTTACTTTTGATCACCCGTTCCGTCGTGGAGAGCTTCTGCGAGTTGTTCGAGGTCATGCTGTATCAGGATAGTTGACGGGTGGGCGCCGGCCTCTCGCTCTCTTTTTCTGCACGATCTTGACTATTTCTCTTCTCACTTTCTCTTCGCGGGTCGCAGGATCGTCTCTCTCCCACTCTTTTGCCGTGTCACTCTGTCACTGTTTTTTTTTCTCTTCTTTCTCTAGCCGTAGTTACTCGCGCGAGGTAACACCTTCCTCTCGTACGGGGGGTTGGGTGGAAGGAGAGGGCGGTATTTTCACCTCGAGAGCCCGGCGCGGCACACACACATACACACGCACGGAGTGGGGGAGGGAGGAGACGGGGGTCGGAGAGGTGACGGAAGTTATCGCACGATGCGGCACATCGGTGGCTCCGAAGCGTTGTTCATTGGGCGTTTGCAGAGTGAGAAATTATTCTACCGTGTCCCTCTCGCTCCCCGTGTATTTACTACACCGACCGACCAGTATTCCTCTTCTCCTCTTGTTTCTCCCTCGCGCTCTCTCTCTCTTTCCCTTTCTCTCTCTCTCTCTCGCTCTCCCTCTGCCCGACAAAAGGTACCACCAACGCCTTTTGCGGGGCGAGTAACTGGATCGCTGGACCACGCGAGCTGCACAGCCCGCACGACGGGGACTCGCAACCGCGGTACCACCACACGACCAGCACAAACGAATCTCCGGTATACGATAGCCGTAAAGTGACGACTTTCAATACCGACAAGGTGGAGGACAACGACAACGATCGCGGCGTGAGCACAGGGCGAACAATCACGACCACGACAACGACAACGACGGCTACGGCGGCGGCGAAGACGACGGCGACGACACCGTAATGACGAGCACCGCGACACGAAACCGTGACACCGACACCCACGGTCGAAAACACCACGCCGCTAAATTCTACTACAAGATGTCTGTCTGTCTGGCTCTCCGCGGCGCGCACACTGACGGCTCCGCGACTACGAGACACTCGCGCAGCTCTCACGCGCAGCGATCATTCGAGAGCGCTGATTGGCCACGCGGCCGCCAGTTGCCGCCACTCGCGAACTAAATGGCGGCGCCACTTACCACTATGCTCAATCGCCTCGTAATTCAAATTACTTAAAATTCGCTTCCTTCAAGAAATGAACTTTGATCTTTAATTTTATTTAAATATATGTGAGATTATGTAAGTATGCGATACTTTCATCCTGCTGTTAATACTCTATTCTGGTTCTTACTGAAATTTTATCCTGAAATCCTTTTATATGATTGCATTATTTTATGTATTAAGCAAGTATGGCTACTAGAAATGAAAAGTACAGAAAAATAGCCTCACTTTTACGTTTTACAGTTTCATATTAAAAAGCTGTTTTAAAATTGTATTCCTATCGCCATCTAGTGACGGAGGTGTTGAATAACGAAATAAATAATTACGCTTTTTAAAATTCTGTTTCTAGAATGAGTTGCATGCGTTAAAAGGCATAAACATTGTTGATTTTACGGAAAAACGTAATTTTCTTATTAATTTTCTCGCGCACTGTCAGGTGGCGCCAGCGATACTATTTTCAAAGCAGGCACCTGTATTTGAAATGAAAAACAATAAAAATAGTAGTTTTACAAAACATTCAATTTATTTAAATGCGTGGTCCCCAAAGTCTGTTTTATCAAGCATTTATATTTCAGTTTTCGGTCTTGTTTGTACCCATTCTTTGATACCTGGTAATTCTAAAACTTTCTGTCTGAGAGATTTTAGATTCGGCGTATCTTTTGTAATATCAGCTTCATAAGCTATACTCAGGGAATCCGAAATAGCAGCGAAGAAGAGATCAGCATAACTCAACTGAAATTTAAAAAAAAGTCACTAAATATTAAATTCAATTCAATGAATAATTCTCACCTGACCACCATAAAAGTACCCTCCATTGTTTTTCACCAATTCTTCGAGTTTATTTAAATAAAATGGTATCACTTTCGTCATTACTTCGACTTTTCTTTTGGCTTTCAAAACCGGATCGGCTTCTCTGTAGTATTGCGATACCGTCACTGGAAAAAGGATGAGACTTATCATTGAATTTGTAAAGAAATCAATTTACAGGAGGAAAGAGATCAATATTTACGCCTCCTGAAGTCGTGAAGAGCATTCGCTACAGCATCGATTTGCAGCGCATCCAAATCGGTTTTGCCGAGGAGATTAAATTGTTTGGCCAGGTAACGGCAAACAGGCAACGTTTGCGAGTAAACTTTGCCATCGATTTCCAGCGTGGGTAGCTGACCGAATGGAGTAGCTGAAAAAAAAAAACATTAAAAAATCAGTAATTTATCAAATTTCCGTTATTAACATATTCGCATTAACGTGGTATTATGATAAGCAGTTTAACACATCCACTGCAGGCTGAAATATTCTCCAGGCCTAATTATTTTCAAGTTAAAAAGCAAATACTTTACTTGGCTTCAAGTTGGTCCATTCTTGGGAACCAATATCCAGTCGAACGTCCTGGAATTTAACACCACCATAACTGAGGAGAAACCTAATCGGTTCTCCCAGTCCCATCACATTAAAATATACCAATTTATAACTCGTCATCGTCACTAATCTAAAAAATAAAAATATAGAAAGTAACACTATTTTGATTTAAGAAAAATTGAAGTTTCAAGTTTAAACGTACCGTACACTCGAATGCAACGCTACTTCACCGCAGACTAACTTGTCTCCCACAGTTATGTAACAATTATACGTCTCCCTCCTCCGTAATCCAGGTTTCTTATATCTTTCTCTTATATGAAAGGTTCTCTTTATTAGTGAATTGTCATGAAGATTCTGATTGGCCTACAACTTCGAAGTATGCCATTCCATCCCACTCTCTTCACTGCTTTCACTTCGGAACAGACACCAATTGTTCCAGTATGTAATCTAACAACATACTCTGGTTATTGACATCAATCCATCCTTCCATGAAATTGTTGATCAATAATATAAAATCTCATATTTCATTTTTATAAAGTGATTTTCATATGCAATATGAAGTAAGCTATAAGTACAGTAATTTGACTGTGAAATGGTTAACCAATATCAATACAATTTCATTTCGAAATTAAAAAAACTCCATGAAGTTTGAAATTTTGACAAATAAAAAGATCCACTTGTTAACTTCTGCTCTGTGAGCTAAGACGATAAGAAAACTGCTCTATGGAACAAGGAGTCCCTGTTCCATAAGCGAAATGGCCAATTGGAAGTTTATCTTAATTGCAATAATTTTAATGAAGCTAAGGAATTTTCATACGATCAGTGGTAAAGTAACTCATAGTAATTTAGATCGATATTACAACGAATCCATGGACATCGAGAAACGATTGCCCGAAGATGTAATACCTAAAAGATACGTAATTGCAGTATCACCTGATTTCAAAAAGGATCAATTCCACGGATATATTCGTATTGATATCGAATTACAGAAGGTCAGTGATTTCCTTGATGGAAGAATTTTAAACATACATTTTAACTAGTTTATTTATATTAAAGCCTCAAGATTACATCGTTTTGCATTCGAAAGATCTAACCATATCATCGACGCAATTGGATTCGCAAAGAACGCAAACGGAAGTTCGACTGAGGTCCATTATTCCAGTAAAGAAGCAGGAAATGTTGATTATCAAACCGGATAGAAAGATTCCTTCAGGAGAATATTTTTTAAAAATGAATTACACTGGAAGTTTAACAGGGAAGATTATTGGATTCTACCTGAGTACTTATGTCAACATCAATCAATCCATTAGGTGCTGAATTACTTTATAAAACATTATAAAAAATTCTATATTTAAATAATTGATTTTTTTTGGTAGAAAATTAGCAGTGACTCAATTTGAGCCAACTTATGCTAGAACCGCGTTTCCGTGCTTCGACGAGCCAAGCTTCAAATCCGAATTCGTCATTAGCATAGTTCATCAAAAGAAATCATCGTATCGCGTAATGTCTAACATGCCGATTGCAGTAAGTTGGTCATTAAAAAGCAAAGAATATTAGGAAAATTCTGTAGAGTCATCATTTTACAGGAAGAAGGGCCGATGGACAATGATAGTAACAAAAAGATCACGTTTTTCAAACCTACACCTCCAATGTCCACCTATCTTGTTGCTTTCATTATCAGTGATTTTGAGTGTGTGGGGACTAATTTGAGTCTGTTGAATGGAAGTAAAATACCACTGTCTGTTTGTACAAGATCTATGTATAGAAATAAAACAAAGTTTGCATTGGATGTTGGGATTCGAGCGATGGAGTATTACTTAAAGATCCTGCAGGTTGATTACCCGTTACTGAAACTAGGTAATGATGAAAGTAAGTCGAAATGATGAAAGTACTTGCCAATTATCAATTACCAACTATTAACTACAGACCTGGTCGCCGTACCCGATTTTTCCGCCGGTGCGATGGAAAACTGGGGTCTGGTCACATTTCGCGAAACAGAATTACTACAGAACGAGAACACTAGCTCCTGCTTAAACACCAAAAGCGTTAGCTTAACGATAGCCCATGAATTGGCGCACATGTGGTTCGGTAATCTGGTCACTATGAAATGGTGGAACCATCTATGGTTGAACGAAGGATTCGCAACCTACATGGAGTACATGGCTGTGGATTTTCTATTTCCTGAATGGAATCTGGTCTATCACCTTCGAAGTTATAGAACATTGAAAGCAAGAACTTAAAATCTACAGTATAAATAAGCGAAATGTTCCCTCTTTTTTCTATTAGATGGATTGTTTTCCAATATACACCAAATATGTATCCATGAAACAGGACAGCAAAGTACGCGCTCATCCCATCGTGAAACGCGTTGAAGATCCTGAAGAGATCGAAGAAACGTTTGACAGAATTTCGTATCAAAAAGTGAGAGGCACTTTGGTAGGCAATCAGTATGAAAAGACTATTAAGCAATTTTGATTAGGCTGCAGCAGTGATCCGGATGTTAGAAGACGCTATTGGCAGTTCAAAATTCATCCGCGCCATCAGAAAGTACCTTCAAATGTATCAATTTCAAAATGCAGAATCTCAAGAGCTTTTCGAGATTCTGCAGAATAAGACGCGAATCGTCATTGACATCGCCGATTTTATGAACCGATGGACCAAGTTCCCAGGATTTCCGGTGGTCAACGTCCGCCAAGATAAAGCTGCCTTTCAGCTTTCGCGTGGACGATTTTCAATTAGCAGGAAATTCCAGCCAACGATCGAGTAATTTAAATAAATAACAATTGGAACATTCCGAAATTCTGATGGAACATCGTTTTTGTTTACAGCGACGGAAGCTGGACGATTCCCCTGAAATACGTAACGAGCCGAAGGGATGGTGTCAAGTTGGACTGGTTCCTCGCAAATTTCTCTTGCGGTAATCACGGCGTCTATAAATAATTCCGACCCCTTCGTTAACGCGAACTCGATTGCAGTGGAGTTGTCAGTGGAAAAGCCGGTGAATTGGATTAAGCTGAATCACGATTCGATCGGGTACTACATTGTGAATTACACGAGAGATGCTTGGTACGCGTTCAGCAATTTATTGTCCCACGATCATCGAGTACGTTTCACCGCCATTCATAAATCAATCATACGAAATGTATTAGATCGTTGCGGATGAAATAACCGATTTATCCAGAGAAAACATCCTCTACATTCTTTTCAAGCTACACGTCAATCCAAATTAATAATAACAATGACCCGGAATTATTAATATTAATTGCTGTCTTTTGGAATGATCACAGATATTGAGCACCATGAATAGAGCAGACTTGTTGCACGACGCTTTTCTTTTAGCAGAAGCCACCGAATTGCATTATCATGTGGTCATGAACTTAACTTCTTATCTGGCGAAGGAGACCGCTTATCAGCCATGGGCCGTAGCCGCCGAATGGTTCGAGCAAATGAACCGATTGCTTGGTGGAACTCGTGTAATTCATCGCTTTCAGGTGACACATAATCAACCTAGTGGTCCCACCAAAAAGAAAATTTGAAAATACATATATTTCTTTTTTACAAATCATTAGTCTTATGCACGAAGTCTCATTGATAGAGTTTATAGAGAAATCGGATGGCACAGTCATGCTGAAGATACGTTCGCCGACAGGTCAGTTGAAGTTTTATCGATACCTTCGATCGGTGTAAAAATAATAAGAAAATTTATTACCGATTCGTTTCAAGAGAATTTCGTATACTGATATTGAAGGCAGCTTGCACGGTTGGTCATGATCATTGTCTAGAAACGGCCGGAAGGAAGCTGAGGAACTTTCTATGGAAGAAAGATGCTCGACCGTTGCCAGTTGATATTCGGTCTATCGTCTATTCGTTCGGTGAGGGAAAAATATTTCATAAATATTTTCCACCCTCTTGTCTTTATTATTCACGATACGATGCCTTGATAGGCCTTGTCACGCTGTCGGACGAGGTTGGATCAATATTTGAAAACATGTCGCGGTTACTCGGGAAAGAGACCGACGCACAGGAAAGGGAACGTCTGATGTTTGGACTGACCGGCTTCCAGGACAAAAATATTCTTAATCGGTTGGTCAACGCGCAGTTCCCTCGCTTTTAGACTAACAGGATGCTAATTGCCTTTCATATAATTGCTTCCTTTGTTACTTTTTATCTTACCCATTTTCGCCTTGAAATTATACCCTTTGTATACCAAAATTCTAATTTCAAGAATATCTCCCTTGTAAAAATTACAGCAGCTCTTTCAGATGGTATATTTCAAGAAAAGTATAATTTTAATGACATTTTAGGTATCTTCAAAAAGCAATGGATGAAGGTTTCATTCGCAAGCAAGATTTCCCCGAGGTGTTGATCAAAATCGCGCTGAATCCTGTAGGATTGGACATCGCGTGGACTTTCGTGCAGTATGATCCCCCAAAACGTACAAAAAGTATAAAATAAAGTTTTCATATATTCCTATCAGATTACGATTGAATGATCTCGTTGTGAAATACCAAGCGTACGAGCATATCTTAGGAAAGATCATCAGTGGTGTTGTCTCATTGTTTAAAGATCGTCAAAGGCTACAAGAGGTAATTCTTTCTTCGTGAACAAGTTTGTAAGTCAGTTTAACAGTGTCGTTTTACAGGCAAGACAATTTTTTCTGAAACACTCTGATCTCAGAATCACGGAGACTACGAAGAGAAACGCCATCGAGGAAATCGAGGATAGTATCAGTTGGCTGGATGCGAATGTGCAGAGCATCGCGGAATGGCTAACAGCGAATGATTTTAATTAATCATTTTATTGTTAATTATCATATGTATATGAAAGGAAAAATGAAAGAAAACAATGGTAATTCGATTTTTCACTGTCGATCACGATATCTGAGAATAATATTTAACTAACGGGAATGTTCGTGTGTATTCTGGAATCTATTATCTGTGACGATTAACACAGCGAGATGTTTGAAGATACGCATTCCGCTATCTTCTTTAGCTATTGTCCAGTTAACGGTATTTTTAGTAAATATTTCATGGATACTTTACTCTAGATAATTATAATATATCTACAGTAGATCAAGAAAATAATGGCACTAATTAAATCAAAATTTTCCAAATACCACCAATCACCATCGAAGCCATTTTTTTGGCTTGCATTTTACTGGTCAGTATTTTAATCCCTTTTGGTCAGTATTTAAATATGAAGAGTCAGTGTTTAAATCCTTTGATCAGTATCCTTCCATACTGACCATTCGCTATTTATGTACTAACCTAACCTAACCTAACCTGCTAACGTTTAGTATGTTTATACTGACCATTTTGGTAATAAAATACTGACCGAAAGTTGATTTATATACTGACCATTTAATTTGTTGCCTTTTTTTTATGGTCGACGATTATCTTCTCTGAACGCACGAAGAAAACAAGCTGATCGATTAAAACTCCCTACGCAACTTCGAGCCATTGATCAGTTATCAGTCGAGTGATTAGACAGCGCGGTTCGCCGATGAATCTTAAAGCCGCCTCTCCAAGTGTCCGCGAAGAGGAATCATGAATGTCGGTACTTAAAAACGAGTCGCATAACGTCGATCTATCTAATCGATGAGTGCCATTTGTTAGTTCGAGTGGCCTGAAGAAAAGAAGAGTGAAAGCGGTAGAGAACGGGAATGTATGGAGATGGAACGTGGTCACGGTGCGGCTCCCTCGGCCGTTGCGTGCGCGTGTGTTTCGCGGTGTCGTTATCGAGCATTATCGAAATTTCTTTCATTACTCATCGTCGATACACCGATTGGCCCTGGTAAACAGCCCGAGCAGCAGCCGTGTTTTCTTGCTCCTCTCTAAAAACTGATAGACAGACGTCCCGTCATCCGTTCGCGAATGATCCTCCGTGTCCCACGGCGCGGCGCAACAGCTCCGTCTGCGTTCGCCAAAGTCGACGGTCGTCGATTTTTGGAATCATCTACGGTACCAGAGACCCGTCGAGAACACGCGGCAGCTGAGTGCTTGCGATCCGATAACACACCGGTAAGGGGATGATCGATCGTCTTCTTTTCTTCGCTTCGCAATATCATCGATCAATGGACATTGGCGTACCTAACATTCTTATCTAAAGTGAATCGAGTTTTCTACTTTGACTGAAAAGTATCAATTGTTTAGAATTTTATTTACGATTTTCAGCCGCCTATCTAGTTACGCCAATGTAATTGGAGCTGACGTGTGTTTCTTTTTGAATGACAGTGAACGTGTACAGTGTCGATAATGAGCAAGACGGTGCATTACGCTTTAGTGGCTTTCTGGGAAAAGTCTGGCTGCAAGATCATCGCTGATTACCCTGCGAAACAGGACCCGGCTTACAGAGCGATCGCATTGAGCACGGTGGACGGTCTGAAGTCGCTGGAGAACGATAAGATCAGCCTCGATCGGGGCAAGTAAGCGCGCTAAATTATTAATCGTGTGTAATATGTTTTAATTAAATAGTAACTGAGTTTAAATGAAAGCTACAATTACTGATGGTCTCATTAACGAAAAAATCTCGAATGGATAAAAATATTTATGAATGAAAGATAGTAGCTGATTTCATTTATAATATTTGAACAAATCGTTGAACTTGAAATTCAATTTTCGATCTTTAATTGAGAGTGCAAACAAAATGAAGATACCACTTGAATTGGCAATTTTAATAATTTGTTTCCGATAAGAAATTGATAAGAAATTTAAACAACGTTCTTTCCCTCTTGAACAGTTCTTTCGGTTTAGCTTATCTGATTTCAACTTCTATCCATTGTTTTAAAATACAAAATCCCTTCTTTTACCCACAGATACACCGTGCACGTGTTGATAGGAGAGTTACACTATGCCTGTTTAACATCGAAACCAGATTGCCCCTCGTCTGCCGCGAAATTGGAATCCTGTTCCCAGGTGTTTTTGGAAAGGTTGCGAAGCATTTACATGGAACTACCAATATTAGCGGATCTCTCGAGAGACCTGTCCAATCTTGCTGTGATTGACCTCTCGAAACCGTTGAAAAAGATAGTGGTACATTCGACTCTTTAATCTGCGAAAGTTGTTGACCACCGGTAACATGGCGATGGATTAAACGGGTGTAATTTCAGGAGGAATACAATCGACAAGAGATCGATATTATTCCGAAATTGGAAGGGGAACTTGCGGAGATTCGAAAGACGTTGATGGATGGAGTTCAAAAGCTCATCGACAGGGGTCAAAGGCTGGATGACCTTGTACGAAAAACTCAGAGCTTGCAAATCATGGTAATCATCAATTTTCATTTTATCACTCGAAAATAATTTATTTTATAAAAGAGATAAAACAAATATAAAAAGTATAAATATTTTTAAGTGATTTTATTTTGTAACATAAATTAATTCTTTTTTAAAAAAGATAATTGTCCCCCTCTGGATCCGCCCTTGCTCGTAACCCATATTTTGTGCAAGAGAAATTATCATTGTTATCATTATCCAGAAGAGTTCTCGTTCAAGCACGAACGATTAATAAATAGCTCGCGAATACGACTCCAGCGTTGAAATTCATTTATTTTCAACGAAAGTAGTGCGTGCCGTGATTACGCTGTTTTATTTGTACGAGCTGGAAAAGATAGCGGGACCTATTAATTGCTCCAATATCGAGGAACGATTAACGGGTCGCAACCCACCGAACGCGCGCAGCTTTCTCTTTCGTTACTTGGGCATTTTGCTAATCGTTCTCCAATGACGTGGCAATGGGATAAAACATTTGAAAAACTAGCATCGGGGCGATTAAAATTAATGGAAATTTTTCACTTTTCATACGTGACTCTCAAAACGTCTACGTATCATGGTACGAAGGTAGATATCAGTGATAGTAACAATGATAGTAAAAATTTTTATAAATGTTTGCTACATTTTTCAATGACGAATTGAAAAAATTTCTAAATCTCTGCGTTGTCAATTTGGTGGAACAAGGCTTGGAAGTCTTAAATCCGAAAGCCTACATACCGTGCGTCGCCGACTCTCCGGACGAATTCTTGGTATCTATAAGAAAACATAGTGCACCGAACGACTTAACGAAGAGAACGATTTCCAAGTGTAATAATCATCAATTTAACATTCTTGAATTTTCTTTGCAGTCCCGAAAGGACTTCCACGTGATGAGAACAACCCGGAAGAAGAAGAACGCGATGGTGGCCGCGGTGGCAACAGTCACGATGTTCGCCTCCACATCCCTCTTCGTTTTCCTCCTCTACCTCGGCATTTTATGACCATAGACGCACCTTGAGAAAGACAGTAAATTATTTATTGGCTGCTACTCGCCTTCTGTCTTTCGTGTCGAGTGGCTTGTAGACAGTTCACACTTGCATTGTTCAGAAACAGTGACACACTTCGACAAAAACTTGTGGCAAACGTTCAGACGATCAATACGTGACACTGGATGTCAAAATATCAAACAGAAGAATATTTGAAAAAAAAATACAGAACGCATAGACATTTGCAATCTAACAATAAAAATTTCCATTTTAGGAATTTACTGACTCTCATTCCCTAAGAATGAGTATAAAATATGAATAATTACTTTGTTTCACAATTTACGCAACACTTTCGATAATAAAAAGTTCAGATAACTGAAATCCCACTGTACTTTCGTTATCTCTTTTAAATAACATACTGCTACCCTAGAAATGTAAAAATAAATGTAAACCATGACACATGAGAATCGTGTCAGACGATTTTCACTGCAAAGTCATAGGGCGATTTAAACTCTTGAACGTTCGTGTAATTTTCAGACAGAAAGGTGGGATTCGATGGCATCAGTGGCGGAATTCATACCGGACCCCATCGATCTCGAGGAGGATATCAAACGCAGGGACGATCTAGCGGAATCAACCAGACGTGAAAAATATATCGCAGCTCGCAAAATACAGGTTAACGACGCCAGTTTGTCGATAACCTGGAAACGAGTCGAAAAAAAAAAAAAAAAAAAAACGGTGCCAAGATTTCGTGCGGCTAAAGATAACCCCGCGAATGATAATCCGCTGCACGAGTTATCGTCCTTATCCAACGATCCTGACTAATAATAAGTGTTGAATGTCGTAATGGGAGTCATTCGACGTGATATTGAATACTTAAGGTCAAGATCACGACACATCATCGCTATGCATTATATTATCATGTCGTTGTTGGAATTCACGTACGAAATTCACACCTGACTATTCTATTCAGTTTAACATTTTCTGTTTTGTAAATTGTTTTTTTTCACACATACACCCTGCCGCAAAAGTATTCGTCCACCGTTTAAAACAGAATACCTCGTTTAAAATTGGGCCAAATGACTTCAGGTTTCTCAAGAAGCTATGCAAATTAGTTTCCACTATTCAATGGTGCACATTTCTGCTTTCGAAATAGTACAGGTTAAATTAGATATTTGTAAATATTATAGTTTTTCAATTGAATTTTTAGGCTTGGATCCGCGGTATCCTCACTCGCAATCATTTGCGACTACTGCACAAAAGCGCGATCATCGTTCAACGCCATTGGAGGGGTCATCGAACCCGGGTCGCCGTTGACCTGTACTTGGTTGAACATGTCCATCAGTTATGGCAGAATTATTACGACGAAATGGCGACAAGGATCCAAGCTATTTGGCGGGGTTATTGGGTCAGAAAAACCGTACTCGATATTCCTAAAATGCGGCGCTGGTTGAAAAGCGTTTACGCGAAGAATCAAGAAACTGTGGAAAATATGAGAAAGTATGTTCTATTTCCTTTTGTTTAATGTAAATTTTGTATGTTTTCTTTTTTTTAGGTTCAGGTATGATGTAATTAAGTACGAAGAAGCTGTCATGGAACATGAATCGATGCAATGTATATTGTTCATCCTCTTCAAAGTATAGTTTTTATTTTTTTGGTGTTGAGATATTTTAAGGGACCTTATTGTTACTTAATTGGAATATTGCTTCATTATAGCTGCATCATTTATTAAGAACACATGAACGTCCAGGTGTGATCACCAGGATAGACAAAACACGTTTCACCTTCATCGAGCAGATGCTGAAGTGTTTCGAATACAGAAGATACGCAGGAAGAAAGAGAAGAACCTGTCGTGATTGTCAAATAGATCGTAAACCAACGTTACTCTTACAAGGAACTTACTACGAAAGGTGTGAGAAAGAAATTCGAGAAATTGAGAGGAGTATCCGAATTGGAAAGACGCCAGTCTCTAGAAGTACACATTTACAATTTTGTTAATCTTCAAAATATTAAAGATTTAATATTTTAGGTAGACCGTACGAGGAAGATGAGAAAATCCAACGAAAATGGAACCAACTAGATCTCGAGGCTTCGATACACGAGAAATACTTAAGAAATTCAACGTGCAATATAGAAATGAAAGAAGTACAAAAGAAAGACTCCTGTAATTTAAAAATTGAAATTCCTTGCACTGGAGCGAAGGATCTTTACAAAGAAATTGAGAAAATGGATTGTCATTTGAATCAACTTCGTCTGAGGTGTCCAATTCACGAACCATCATCTGCATGTTCTACCACTAAAGGTAAACATTAATACAGAGAATTAAGAAGAAGTTACCAAACTAACATAAATGTATATCTTATCATTTTTAAATGATGTAGAAGAAAATAGAAAAGAAAGGTTATTGAAAACAATCGATTTTATTAATACATCGCTTTGTGTTCTAAATACAAAATACTAAATTGCTACAACTACTAAAAAAAAAAACAATTAGATTCTTGTCAGATACACATTAGGCCGTGCAAGCAAGAGGAACCTCGAGGGATTCTGACATGGAGACAGCTTTCTGGCTGAAGTCAGGATTAGCACCTTTCTCGATCCTCTTTTTCATGTTTAGAGATGCCTCGTTCTTGTGTGTACAATGGAATGAATAGTTCTTTGTCGTAGTCTCGGTAGGGGAGCAAGTAGGCGAGCAGGAGACGACTGGACGAGTTGTGAAGCAAATCTTGCCGTTCTTCTCGATCACTTTGGTCCTGAAGAGGGTGCAGCGTTTGTTGTCGTCGGTTTGTTTATTCTGATGGTAACCCCAGTTGGTACTTTCCGGGAAGGATTTGCCAGATTCGAGGCTGCTGATCACGTTGCTCTGACGAGTGGAGATCTGTGGCACGCATATATCCAACTGCTTCAAGGACTTGGCGTTCTCAAGATCTTCACCTTCGCATTGGTCCTTGGTGAGCGTGTAACTGGCGATGAACTGGTCGGGTTGCCTTAGCATACAATTGCTGGGACTGGTGAAATCGTTACTGATGTCGCCGTCATAGTTGCCGCACAGACCACGAAGAGAGTTGCGGAATTTGTTAGATGCCTGCGAATGCAATCACATTAAATATTCAATGGAACAAGTTTATTCTATATAAACACTTACCCTGATGAAGATGCGTTTTCCATCAAAAGCAAGGGTCACCTCGTACTTCTTCGACACAACACCAATTGAACGATCTCCAACCTCAAAGATCTCGAACAGGACATCGTCATCCTTTCTCTCCTGGTGGCTGAGCTCACGAGAGATCTGGACCTTCTGTCCATTTACAATAACCTCTGGCAGTTGATCAGTGGGCAGAAGCTTGATCTCATTTTGACCAAGCATCACTTTGACCTCCTTCTGTCCATTCTGAGTGTCCCGGCCGAGGATGCTCACGCTGTTCTCTTCAGACAGCGCAAGATTCTCCTCGGGTTTGTTTGGGTTCGCTTTAGGATAGGTGGTCATCAAGACGTTCCAGCATTTGCCTAACCTCAGTGGGTATTCCTTACCGTCGAAAGTCTGTGCTCTGGTGGCGTCCAACACACAGGATGCTGAAGAAAGCAACATTTAAATAAACAAATATTTCTTAACTATTTTGACAATGAGAATTGGAAACTCGTATACTTACGTTGACTCTGCTCGGACTCTAATGCGTTCGCGCCCAGTTCATCAGCTGACAGACGTTCCGTGCTGTCATCTAAAGGATTCATGTCCAGGTCGTTCAATGTCATGTCCACGGTTGGTGTGTGTACAATCACATCAGCGCACTTCATATCCTTGGAAAATTTCGCCTCGATGTCGATCCTGTTTTTACCGGCGTTCTTCGGTTTCGTGATGGCTATGCTATGGTCATCGGAGTATTGGCTTACGACGAACGTGATGGCCCGGGTGACGAAAATTTCCAGGTTCTCGGAACGGGTGTCTATGGAGAGGTCCAAATCATTCAGCGTCAAGGCGAGGGCCGCAGCATCTTGACACACCTTGAGCAGCTTGTTACCCTGCTCCATCTGTCTCTTGCACTCCTTCGTCAAAGGAGAATTCTTGATGTCCTCCTTCAATTCGTCGCTCTGTGTAGCCTTTCCCTTAATATTGATCTTCTCACCTTTGGAACAAGTCTCTCCGTAACGAATGTCGATATCGAATTCCTTTTTCGGTTGGGACAGGATAGCCTCGTCGAAAAACAAGGAATAGGGAGGGTTGGCCATCAACTGGATAGCTGCACATAGTTCTGTTTTCTTCTCTTCGCTGGGCACGTCGAAGCCCCAGTAAATGAGAGCTCGGTCCTTGGTCTCGGCATCGCTGTTAGACCAGGCAACGGTCAGAGTATTTCGGCTCTTCGCTTCGCCAGGGATCTGGAGTTGAAGGTCTAGCACGTGTGACTTGGCCAGCTTAATACCTTTGGCTGCCTCCTTCAGGAACTGCTTCCTCCGGTCCTCGCTGTTTGCTTCCCTGCTGGTTGGTTCCACTGCTTTGGCGATCGATGACCATTGTTTGGTGTCCTCAGTACCAGGTGCTGCCTCCATGTTGGCATAAGAGGCGCTCAAGATTAACGGTTCCTTCAGTTCCTGTTTCAGGTCGATAAAAATGTCCGCCTTGCGGTAGGTGTCGTCCTCGAGGTTCCATGGGAACATGCTTACTACATTGTTGGTATCCAAGTTCCAGAACTCTTCGTTGGACTTATCAGCTTCCAAATTTATCCTGAGTCCCTTGGTAGTAGATACCGGCAGGGTGACGGTTTTCGGTGAGTCGATGTGCACCTTCTGGGTGCCCTTCTCGGTTTGCAATGGGCGCAGGCTCAAGATGTTGTGGACAGATGTGTATGGTATCACGCTGTAGTGTATCAAACGAGATTTCTCTTCACCCTTAAGTGGCCACAGCTTCAACTGCGTGCTCTTCGTTGGTACGTTGATGTCCAGAGAGACCTTGACGGGTGCGTATGCTTGGGTGTTCACGTCTATACCGGCGATGTAGTGGTGGTGCTCGAACGGAGTGACGAAACCGATTCTTCCTTGGATCTTCCTGGCGTACACTAGACGAACTTCGGCCTTGGCGTTCACGCTGTGATCGCGTCCCATCTTAAGATGACCACTTCCGCTCATCTTGTTGAGCACAGGCACCTTTAACGTGTAGACGAACGGCAGACCAGTTTCGGTTGGGAAACCCAGGGTGATATCGTATGAAGCAAATTTGTTTAGATTCACGTAGCCTCCGTCCTTCATAGCCATCACTTTCTTCACGAGATCTGTAACATAAAAAAAGATACATCATTAATACAACTCAGAATTTTGATTTATATTTAATAATCAAAGAGACACTTACGATTATGCAGGCCACGGACATCGTGTCTATCGAAGGGCATGAAACGCGACAGGAATTTCGTCTTCCAGATCAGATTTCCTTCCAACTCGACTGGTTTATCTGTTATGATGTTCAGTTCCTCGGCAATCCTCTCAGTAACCATCTTCTCAGGCATGTGTTTATCCCCGCCGATCTTGTAAACAGTGTCAAAGAGAGACTGTACGCTGGAGATCATAGCCACCAGTTGAGTTGGAGGTGTCTTGAAGTCACCATAGGAAGCCATGGTTGCTAGATAGAGAGCACGAGGGATGAAAGTGTCGTCACTGCCAATGTAATTGATTACCCAATTGGTAATTAGATTCTTTTCTGGCTTGTTCTGACTAAGAATGACTCCATGAGAATATTGGAAACTGTAATCTTGGGTATTAAGTAGACTCTTAACGGAGCGAGCTTTACTCGCTAGGCTCGTCCATTCTGGATCAGTCAGATCAGCCAGACTCTCGATGGTAGATTTCACCGCAGAGTTGACCTGTTTGTTGGTGTCATAGTTGGTGAACTCTGCCATTCGTTGCAGCATGCTACGCGGGGGGTTAGTCAGTGGCAGTAGGTAGACAGCCATGCAACGCACTTCGTGGCTCTCCATCGTGTTCAGGTAGATCTTGTAGAGAACATTGCGCGCCAGTTTTGGAACGTTCCTGGCTAATTTATCCAGGGCGCCGACGATTAACGATCTCTGGAAGACGGAAATCTTTTCCGTGCCTTCTAGGTAGGGCTCGAAGACGGAAAGAATCTTGGGGTGACCGATGTTGCCCAAAGCCACGATGTACGTTTGGATTCTAGGACTGTCGCCATCCTCGACAGCCTTCTTCAATTCTTTCGCCAGGAATGGGATGTACTCTCTGACAAGAGTTTGATCGTGTTTGGAAGTGAGGCGCCCGAATGTGTGCACTGGGTAGAGGTTGTGGATACTCCTGCCGTTAACTTGGGACTGGTACACCAGCTCGGTGAAGGTCATCAGCGCCGTGGTGTTCAAGGTTGCTGTGTTCATCACTTTTGGATTGGTGGCTAGTTCCTGAAAGACAAAAATTCAAGAGTTTTAATATCTTACCTGTGGATTCAAAATTTCATGCTCAACAAATCCACTTTACTATGATACAACTTACAAAGATCGTGTTAACGTATTCAGCAGTAGGTGCGCGAGCAGTACTTGGAAGTCTGGACAGAATGTCAACAGCCTCCATTGTTGTAACATCCCTCCTCTCGATCCAGTTTTTGATGGTCAACAAAGCAGGTCCGGTTCCGGCTTGAGTGATGGCGTCTCTGAATATGGCCCAAGCGTTCTGATTGACAGCTTGAGTCTTGTCGTTGGATTTCAGTTCGTTCGAAGAGATATGCATCTTGGTCTCAACTTCAGCTATCTGTTTCCTGTTCATGATGCGGATCAGGCTGGTGAGGATGGAGAACTTCTCCAGGGTCTCTTGCGTGGCCATGTTGCTTGGGTCCTCCAGTTCGTTAGCAATTTGGAAGACCAGCTCCTTGATGGCTTTCACCACATCAATCTCTCCGGACTTTCCAATGAATTTGCCCTTATAGCCGATGAAGTTAGGCAACAGAGGATTCTGTGGAGCATCCTCGAGCGTAGGTTTAGGCTGCCAGAATTTGTTTTCCTCGCTGCTGGAGATGGAGCTGCTGGATGCACTGGATGATCCACTGCCCCGGAGGTTAGGCTGATTCTTCAGCGCTTCCTCGCTCGAACTGACGGAGCTAATACTGTCGGATGTTCGAACCTGTTTCGGGTCTACCTGTCCGATGCCTTGACTGGGTCTGCGTTCCTCCATGTCCGAGAAAGGATTGTCGAAGACGTAGACCAGATTGCCAGTGGATTCAGGGTTGCTCGGCGGAGATAGAGGATTGGAGATCTTCTTGACATCAGCCAGGGTGAGGTTCATCTTGTTGACTACACTGCCCTTCTGGTTGTCGTACAGTCTGGGACTGATAAACATCTTGCTGGTAGTCACTGTTGATTGGATGGTGAAGCGTTTCAGGTTACCTGAGATGACGATCCTGCTGGTGGAAGATTTCTACAACAAAATTTT